TTTGCGGCGAGGGTAGGACAATTGGGGCCACCCACATCAAGAATTGTGGATTTTTGCACCCACGCGCCCAACGTATACATTATGGGATAGGAAATTTTAACATGGGAAAAATAGGGAAACTTGAACCACTTGGACGTTCCCATAGGGAAGGAATACGAGTGGATGTGAATCGACAAAAAAATAAAGTTCGCTAACCTCCACACTGAAAATAGTGGCTCGCTTTCCCGAGTTCCGATCATTTCTTTTGCATGCTCAATTATTACACTCTAAATAATTTGGAGACAAATTGTCACCCGACGGAGGTACTGCACAGCTCTATTTTTGGGTAAAGATTACAGAGACGTTTTGTCACCAATGGGAAATTGAGCCCAAAAGTTCGTGTACCAAGCAGGCGTGACGTCGCCATGTAAAATACGAAATATTTTCACGTAAAAAAATCACATGGTCAGATCAAAATGTTCACAGGTTTTTTTTAGTTACGACGTTACCTGTGCTTCGTACAAGAGTTTTATATATTTCGTCATCAGAAAGTCTTGATTTTAGCACCACGCATCTAACGTAAACATTAAGGGATAGGGAATTTAAACGTGGGAAAGATAGGAAGACTAAACATGTACCCATTACAATGATAACGTAATTTATGGATGTTCCCTTTAATCCAGGTAAAATGAAAGGGACAGAGACGGGAAACCCTTATCTTTTAGGAATTCGTCACCTCTAAATACAGCTTTAAGGGTTCTGCGCAGGTGGCGGTATTTATGCCTGAAAGTTTTACCCAACTTATTTTTATCCAAATATACTAATAACGTATTCACCCTTTCACAAGGTTGTCTTGGTTATTAGATGGATTTGGTATAAATTTTGAAATACAATTATGTACTATGGTCCATCCAGAAAAGACGGACCATCGGCCAATGTTAATAATATTGTAAGGCTAAATGGCCGACCTTGCCATAACTAACAACATGTAAAGTTTCAAAATTAATTGCACGGTCATTTCTTGATGGATTTTCAAAATGGCGCACGTTTTGGAAACCTTGGACCCTTGGGCGAAATATATATTTTCAAATTTTTGAAATTTGGCCCCACCCACCAGTTATCGAGGTCACAAGGTCAAAAAAATCAAAAGACATTGCCGTATTGAATTTCAAAATTCTGCAAGGGAATTCGAAAGACCTGGGTACAGATTCTTGGCGGATAGTCAGGTCATCGTATCCAGCGGTTATCTGGCCGCACCCCTTCATTAGGGGTCAATGGTGGGTGTGGTCAAAGGTCAATTCCCAAGAAATACAATAGAAAAAATTCTTACCACCGTAGTTTCTGAAATTCAACGTCACCATTATTCATAAACTTCATCGTGCACCCCATCTGAATGACCTGACCTTATCGTAGACCTCATGACGACAAAGGGGTGTGGCCATCGGCGCTTCTGCGAATACCCAACTCATATACGGCATGCGACATATCATTCTTCTCAGCTCGATGGGGAGATCAAGATTAAATATTTGAAATTTGGAAACCACACCCCCAGTGGGTGTGGTCATCAGCGACTTCTCCATTTTAACGAATCCACGTCATGCGACATATCATTCTTCTCAGCTCGATGGGGAGATCAAGATTAAATATTTGAAATTTGGAAACCACACCCCCAGTGGGTGTGGTCATCAGCTACTTCTCCATTTTAACGAAACCACGTCATGCGACATATCCTTCTTCTCAGCTCAATGGGGAGATCAAGATTAAATATTTGAAATTTGGAAACCACACCCCCAGTTGGTGTGGTCATCAGCGACTTCTCCATTTTAACGAATCCACGTCATGCGACATATCATTCTTCTCAGCTCGATGGAGAGATCAAGATTAAATATTTGAAATTTGGAAACCACACCCCCAGTGGGTGTGGTCATCAGCGACTTCTCCATTTTAACGAAACCACGTCATTTGATATATCATTTTTCTCAGCTCGACGAGGAGATAACGGCAGAATACTTAAAAATTGGAGACCACACCCCCAGTGGGTGTGGGCATAAGCTGCTTTTCGATTTTAACAAAACCACGTCATGTGATATATAGGTTTTCTCAGCTCGATGGGGAGATCACGACTTTCCGATCAACAAAAGCTATCACTTTTACGCAAAAGTCATACAGTTAAATTGCAGCAACTGATGGCCGGCAAAAATCCGTGAAAAGATACTAGATATTTAACGTAAAATAAACTGTCAATATTGCATAGAATTGACAGTCATATTCATGCAATTTAGCCTCAAGAATATTGCGTAGAAATAACCGTCAAATTAATGCAATTTAGAGCGTAGAATATTGCGCAAAAGAAATGAATAATTTGATGCAAAACTTGCAGTTAAACTCCATGCAATTACTGCAGTCAAATAACACGAATTATTAATTTTTATCAAAATCATTTATTTCATAACAAAAATTATATTGTTACATTATACAAGGGAATGCAAATGTTTTCATCTATTTTATCCGACGGGAGTAACCAACATTTCTTATCAATATCATTAATACCTATTATGGTTACGCTATTTGATAATTTGCTAACTTTAATTATTCCTAAAATTTTACTTTCACACGGACAAGTGAACAAGTTGTCCGAGTGTTTGAATTTTCTACAATTTATATGTTTTTTATCTTTACTTATACTACTTATAACAACTACTTTCCCAGCCTTTAATATAAAACAATGATCCTTTCCGTTCGATTTTATAATACAGTGTCTATTTAAATTCACAGGGGACTGGTACTTATGATTTTCTCTCTCAGCAGTGCGATTCACAGTTTGCTCAAAAGGTTTATAGTGAGCTCGTAGCGAGCGCTTTATTACTTGCATATTATTTTCGAAATCGAAAGCACTAAAAGAATCTAACGGGCCATGCTTTAAAGCGTCATCACTAATATGTATAATATGTATAAGAGAATGCATATTATATGATAAGAACTCTTCTTCATATAAATTGGGAACATTTTTAACAAACTTCAATAAAAGCTGTCGTGCATAATCGTTCCAATTATTTGCTTGCGCCTTGGTAGTTATAAGAATCGTGACTGCTACGCAAAGATTTAAAAAATGTGTATACTTTTTCGGCGACAATAATCCTTTTAAAGCGACGGGTCCTGTATAAAGAAGAAAAGTTCTAAACTCTGTCGCTTTCCACATATCTAACTCTTTTACTGACCTCGGCGTACGACAAAATTCTTTAGGGCAACTATGCGAAAATAATACTAATTTACTTGATAAAGTTGAAATATCACGAGAAGATAATTTAAATGGCAATGGACCTTTTACCCAACTTCTTAATAGTTTTCTAACCACACCTAAGCAAATGAGGTGCATGTAGTCAAGAGGAACCGAAGAAATCATCAAAATTTTAAGCTCCGTAAACGGGGAAATGCCTACATGGTGGTGTTTATCTTTTTGAACATAAAAATCTTGATCTGTCCTAAGTGGACTATCGAATGTTCTGAAAATTACACGTCCCTTCCAGAAACCTGGATCTATACATTTCTCGCATCCATTGTATGCATTATGACTTTTACATTGCTTTAAAAAACTCCTGGCTGGCGCATCAGCTATTATTTTTGAAACCTTACAAAATATTTTCAAATTATTGTAACTAATCCCAACTCGCAAACTTTTTAACTCTGCTATCAAATCCATCAAGTATTCGTCAATACTTTCTGGTTTTGTCTTGCCATAAAATAAACCCACGACAAATACGCCGTACGTACTTTCTTCACACTTTGCTTGAATTGGCCAAAACTGGTTACTGTTACTCTTAGAAATGGGCAATCCATCAAAACTAAATATAAGGTTTAATTTAATTTCGCTACCAGAAGCAAGAATACAATTGGAATCTATTTGCCATTTTATATTTTGAATAACATCAAAGTGTGCATATTGACCCTGACCGATAGTTTTCATAGAGTATTTAATTGAGTTTTTAAGCAATGTCCTACTATCCAATAGAAGAAATCTAAATTCTTGATAAAAGTTAAATATGCGTAGAAGATCGTTTAAAGCTACTCCCGTTATGTTATGTCGAAGCGACCAGTCCCTCAAGTCCCGTGTTAAATCTAAAATATTCCTATTATTTTCTACTACACCATTGTCGCTTAGTGAATCGGAAACTAATGGCTCGTCACTATTATGGATAACATTACTGCTTCTATCATTATTGCTAATATTACTACCTGAATCGCTATCCTCAACGACAGAATCACATATATCTAAATTTACAAGATTATTACTAATAGCAGGTATGTTTTTTGCACGAGTGAGATTCTCTCTAACCCGTTTTGCAATTATTCGCCTAATGTTTCTCGGTGATTTTCCATCTCGATCCATGATTATGATGCAATTCCCGAGGGAGCGTCGTCGTTGCACCTACTTTTTGAAGAAAGAAACCAATTCATTGCTGCAGTTTGAATTATATCATCGGTGGGAATACGGCCGCTGGGATTTTTGGGATCGGGAACGGACTCAACTGTAAAGACGTTTCGCACGGTTTCTGAAATTTGCAATCCAATTAAACATTAAATAGAGACCAACAATTAGAAAATTTTCTTCATTTTAGAATATATTTTAGCACCTGTTACGACTTCCAACAGTTTTAGGTTTTTCATCGATGTCTTGTTTCCTTTACCCGTAAAATTAATTCGCCTGCCAAATTCATTCGTAAATAATTTTTTCAAGATTTTTCTAGTGCTCGCCTCGATCTGTGTCGCAGTTGAAAATGCCAAATATTCAACCTAGTATCAAATATAAGAAAAAACATTAAAGTTTAATTATGCATGTAAAATATCTCGATTAAATCGTACCAGTAATTCGCGATTTGAATCCACCTCGAGCCAAGATTCAAACTCCGCCAGTGCTACCTCGTTGTCGAGGGGTAATTTTTTAATGGCACTGAAATTGGGAGCCTTCCTACCATCCGGCCTTTGTGTCATATTAATCAGTAAAGCCTTAATGTCTTTAATGCCTTCAGCCTGCTTTTCCAACAAAGTTAGCACACTTTGCGTTGTCCCTGCAACGTGATTACAAAGCGTTAACATAATACATCAATTTTAATAAAATTATTTTGCTTGTACTAACTTGAAATCAACAGCCGTAAATCATTTAACTCCTGCGAATTTACAACAACAAAAGAGGTGTCTCCAGTTTCAACTTGATTTCCTACTTGTAGATTGCTTTGCTCTTCAGTTTCGGGAATTATTTCAGGAATGCTCAATGGTTGGTCTAAAAAGCATCACCATAATGATTAGTATAAAATATTTGTGGCAGTATTATAAGCCTACCCAGCTCCAAATTATCCAGAAGTGAGCCAGACGGAGGACTGTTTTTGTTCGCTTCGCTATCCTCCTCATCGGATGAAGACGTTACATCCCCTCGTGTGCTGCTGGGCTGAATATCGGGGATTATCTTCTTGCTCCTTAATCTGATTTCTGGTTCTGTTTCACTTTCCAAGTTGGAAGTGTCCTCGGCTACTTGAAGTTTTTTTGTCGCAACTTCATAATCATCTAAAATAATGATATTTGTTAGTAAATGTAAAATAATTGGAATGACTTCTCATAATTTGAATTAAATAGCTATTTACCGTAATTCCCAATAATCCTGGCGTAGCTAACTCTTCCCCACTTGACATCAGGAATAGCAGTGCCCTTTTTTTATCAAATTTCTAATACTTGGCCCAGAGTTTGGTGGCCAGAGACAAACTTTCTCTGCGGGGATAACCCAGTGACTTGGAACAAGCTCCACAGGCACTGAATTGTATTTATCAGGGGGGAATTCAATTATGTAATATTTTTTTGGCGACATTGAGACAACAGATAAATTAACACGGAATTAAATTAACAGGGAATTTACGAGACTGCGAGGGTGGGAGAGAAAAGGAAATACCACGCTTCTCTTAGATTCAAACTCTCGCGCGTTGCCTGTCTCTTCGCACCCACCATTCATTGCGTATAAATTGCATGATTTTAACGCCTCATGTAATGTGGGTATTGACGAGATATCGGTGAGGTATTTTTACGCAATATCTCAGCACGTTTGGGTGCAATAATTTTTCAACCATAGGTTACAGTTTTTTAATGCAAATTTAGCGTGTCTCACGGTGCACACCAAACTTAGCACAAAATTTATGCAATAATCACGCCTTTTTTTGTTTGTTAAAAATTTTCACCATGGATGCGTTACTTTGACGCAAAAGTAATAATTTTTGTTGATCGGGTTACACCTTGCAATCTGGAAACCACACCCCCAGTGGGTGTGTTCATCAACTACTTATCGATTCTATCATGCAATAAATCATTTTTCTTAGCCAGATGAGGGGATCTTAATTGGATAAGCAAAATTTGGAAACCACACCCCCAATGGGTGCAATCATCAGGGAGTTTTTGATTTTGACAAAATAATGTCATGTGATTTCCCTCGTCAACGAGAGAGGATTCAAACGATATACTTCAAATTCACGATCCACACCCCACTGGGAGTTGAACTCGAAGGCTTTTCGGTTTTAGCATGCCTTGTGATACAATTTTCTCAGCTCGTCTGGGGGTTTGCGACTGAATAAGTAAAAAGAGGAGAACACGTTCCCCTTAAGGTGGCACATTTTTCACTTTCCAAATTTGCTGCGCTCCCCATATTAGAGGAATATGTGACCATTTGCCAATTTCATTTTTGACATTTTGTAAGAAGGATTAATTTTGGAGCAATTTAGAATGAGTAAAAAAAATTTTACCCGAAAGATTTCGGGTTTTTAGGAACAGATTCAAATGGTCTCTGGTAATCAGACCCATCCTTGACACGAAATTTAAACAGAATTATGCAAAATTAGAGGCGACTTCCATTCAACAGGAGGGAAATTAAGAGCATTAAGGTGTGAAATCTATTCCCCCTTCATTGGTTGGTTCAATCCCAATGTCCCTCTACTACCCGGTGAGCCAGTTCTCGTTCGCCGTATGACCCTTCATGCGGATGATGATAGTGTGATGACGATGATAGGATGACTATGATGGCGGCGGGTATGGCCTGGCAATAAGAGCTGGCTGGAGGATGAAGAAGGTTGTTACTTGTCCGAAGGTCGATTTATTACTGAATTGACTTTGGCAATGTGCAATACTTTTATGATACAAAATGTTTACAAATTAACTCCTCCTTCATTGCCATATCACCAATTCTTCCACTTGTGCACGTAGATGCACACAGAGGAAGCGCGAGAGCAGAGTAGAGGTTGAGTGGTTTCAGATGTTGCTTTCCACTTGGGAAACTTGTTACATTTTTGGACGGTAATTCCCCTTGTATTAAATTACAAGTATTAAATTGTACTAAATTGTATTGATACATTAAATTACTTCCTATTTGTGACCGACTGATTCCAGTCTAGTAAAAATTTGTGAGCATACGTTGGGACTCCCAACTTGGGAGACCTCCATTGTCGGTAGACATCCGATTTGAAAATAAAAATTCAGTCTAATTTTGCCCAGGTGTATATAAAGAAATTCTCGGGTGAATCAGTAAGTTTAGAATCCACGTCCAGTGGGCGAAGAAAAAAAGTCACCCCAAGTCCATGACTTCCGCAAATATAAGAATCATGCAGACTACTTATCAAATGCCGTGTCCACCAATTGGTGTGATTCCGAGGAAAACTCCCAGTGGGGTGTGGATCATAAATTTGAAGTATATTATTTGAATCCTCTCTCATAGATGAGAGAAATGACATCACATGACATTGTTTCCTTAAGATCGAAAAGTAGATAATGACCACACCCAGTGGGAGTGTGGTTTCCAGATTATAATTATGCAATTAAGATCCCCCCATCTGGCTAAGAAAAATGATATATTGCATGATATTGGTTAGAATCGATAAATCGCTGATGACCACACCCACTGGGGGTGTGGTTTCCAAATTTCAAATATTTAATCTTGATCTCCCCATCGAGCTGAGAAGAATGATATGTCGCATGCCGTATATGAGTTGGGTATTCGCAGAAGCGCCGATGGCCACACCCCTTTGTCGTCATGAGGTCTACGATAAGGTCAGGTCATTCAGATGGGGTGCACGATGAAGTTTATGAATAATGGTGACGTTGAATTTCAGAGACTACGGTGGTAAGAATTTTTTCTATTGTATTTCTTGGGAATTGACCTTTGACCACACCCACCATTGACCCCTAATGAAGGGGTGCGGCCAGATAACCGCTGGATACGATGACCTGACTATCCGCCAAGAATCTGTACCCAGGTCTTTCGAATTCCCTTGCAGAATTTTGAAATTCAATACGGCAATGTCTTTTGATTTTTTTGACCTTGTGACCTCGATAACTGGTGGGTGGGGCCAAATTTCAAAAATTTGAAAATATATATTTCGCCCAAGGGTCCAAGGTTTCCAAAACGTGCGCCATTTTGAAAATCCATCAAGAAATGACCGTGCAATTAATTTTGAAACTTTACATGTTGTTAGTTATGGCAAGGTCGGCCATTTAGCCTCCCGAGAATTCCGATGGTCCATTTATTCTGGATGAACGATAATTTCATTTACATTTTTTTAAGTTAATTTGATTCAAGGACATATCCTACTTATATTTGTTATACAAGTGCCTTGTGTAAAACTATTGTGCAAATGTTAAAAGTAAACCAGCTACAGGTAAAAAATTGGAAATATTATAGATAGTTTTTGATATTGTGAATAGTTCCTTACTGATATTTCTTAAGAGTTTGAGAGACTTGTGAAGATCGAAATTTTAACGAAGTTGATACGTTAAAAAATAAATGAGAAATTTTATAATTAAGAGAAATGTGCCATACCGCGTTGCATCGATTTGACGAAATTCAATATGTATCAACATTTGGAAGCACAATTTCGGGTGCAACCATTAATGTACATAGCTATTTCAGAATTATATATTTGCAACCATCCCCCTTCAAAAATTGAGGAGAAAAATTGTAAAAAATGAGCAAGTCAATTTACATTGGGTAAGATAAGAATTAGACCATGCATAACTTGCCTTTGGCATTTGACTTGTCCTATGAATACGAACGTTCTCGTGCATCAAAAGCTTCAAAATTCGGAAATTGGTGGTTTTTTGACCATATTGACATAAATCACTATAAAACTCATGGTTCCCACACATTTACTTCTGACAACCTACATAATGCTAGCTTTTTCTACTTGAGTAGAGCTATATTTTCAGTTGTTGTTGTCCGAAGTAAAAGTGTGAGGTGGGTACCAGGAGATTTCTGGGGTCAAAGTTTCTTAGGGAGTGGCTTATATGGCAAGGGCCCTAACAAAATATTGCAAAATATGGTATCAAGTTTCGTGGCACATTTTCACCGGTATTCTTCGGAATAAATAAATGGTATCTAACAAAATATTATTCCTTTACTTTGTTTCAGTCCGAATACTCATTCCAAGAAAATCTACAAGTGATATATCTATTCCATTACTAATGGCACCAATACGACGTCTACCGCGAGGAGAGTGTCCTCACTGCGGCAAAATTTTCAAAACGGGATGGCGTTTAAAGCTTCATCTCGTAAGTCACGAGACAGATTCTTCCGTTAAGTGTGACGTAAGTTGTCTTGCCAAATTATAACAATACTCACAATGGACGTCTCCCAACGTATGCTCACAGATTTCGAGCAAACTAGCGTTAATCGATCACAAATATAATTAGTGTGTAATTTGCGAATGGCACCATCTGCCCATGCGCAAGTTCAGCGGAGATATTTGCATCCAAATAGGAAAAATGCGCACCAAATTCAGAAAATGAAAAATTTGCCAGTCTTGGGGGTGCGTTTTCTCCTGTTTTTGCGCAAATATCTCCGCCAAACTTTTCCCGCCCATTGGGGGATAGTTCCATTGCAAATTTCGTACTAATTAAATTTGTGATCGATTGACACTAGTTTTCTCCAAATCTATGAGCATACGTTGGGAGACCTCCATTGTAAGTCTGAAATATTAACACAGTAATAACTCCCACCTACCCACGTGCTTGCAGATTTGTAAGAAAGTCTTAAAAAATCACTTAGTCCTGAAGGTCCACGTACGGGTGAGCCACGGCAACCGCGAAAAATATGGGTGTCCAATTTGTCATAAGGAATTTAAAATGGCGGCAAATTTAAAAAGACATGTAGACGTGGTTCACAATAAGACACCGCGACCCCGCTTCCCATGCAATTGGACAGGCTGTCACAAAACATTTAAGACCAAAGCCGCCGCCCTGAATCATTTCAACGTGGACCATGCCCCGAATCCGATTAGATTTCGGTGTACCCTTTGCAGCAGGGAATTTAAGGCCAAGGGAAACTTAAATCGACACATTGTTTCTCACACGACGGAGAAAGTCTACACGTGCGCCACGTGTGGAAGGGGTTTTCAGCACAGGTGTGAATTAGTGAAGCATGAGGTGAGTTG